TCAGTTAGGCCAGGGGACATATGGAACTGGAGACCAGAGTAGATGTCTGGGCTAAAGATGAACTTGAGCTGTTCTTGTGTATAAAGTTTTGGGATTAGATTGGAAGAAAGGGGATTTAGGACCTAGCCTCGAGGAATTCAAGCAATGAAACTTTAAACAAAATGATACTTTTTAAAAGGAAAAATATCTGAAAAATAACAAACAGAAGTTTTAAAGACTTCTTACAAGCCAGAAGGCTGATAAGGCTGGACAATCTGTGAAGGAGAGAAAGAACCGGGGTAAACCAGGCTATGTAGCAGGAGGGACCATAGGGAGCCTGGTAGCAGTTTGAGTTAAGTCAACATAGACTAAGAAGAGGACTGGATCACAGGCAACCAATGCGTGTATTCACCAAGCAACCTCAGTGTGGCCATCTTGATCAGTTTGGGCTGCTCCTTTTGCCCATAGGGTAAGGCTGTGATCTAGTCTGTAAAGAAAATCTGAGAATGGACTCTAGAATGGGTATAAGGGCTGCCACAGCAGACAAAGACGGGTAACAAGCAGGGCTGGAGGCTCCACCAAGAGGAAAGTACACCACAGCATTTTGTTCCCAGAGGAACCTCTCTCCCCCAGAGTGCCCTTGGGTCTGGGAGCGGGCTCCCTGCAGGGTGCCCCACAGAGAGACAACTGCAGAGAAGCCACACACACAGGACCTACAAGGGAGCAACCCGTCAGTGACACAGGCTTGCAAGACATCAGAGAAACCCTGAGTACTAGCTGTCTAAGTTAAGCAGGAGACTCTTCATTCATGAATGTGAACAGACAACCAAGGATCACTAAGAATTTAAGGAAAACCAGCAGCAGGAAAGAGAAGAGCCAAAATGAACAAATAGAGTAAGTAACTCTAGAAAAAAATAATTATGTAATTTGAGGAACAAAGGAAATCTTGAAAACTTCCGATCAATATTCTGAGAAAGAGTTGAGAAAATATTGCATCCGAAAACAAAACAAAACAAAAGGTAATATGAAAAAAGAGGAAGTGGACAGGAACAAATTATTAGAAGTTAAAAACATGATTGTGAAAAATAACTAGTGAACAGATTTAAAAATAAAACGAATGCAGTTTAAACACTGTTTATCTACTCTCAATACTTTCCTCCAGTACCAAATGTGTGCATATTTTCCCACACTCACTGGTTCTCTTACACCAGCTGGGTGCCCTACAATTCAAATCAGTTCTGACACCATCTACCGGGACTTAGTGTCAGACCCCACAGGGTAAGGGCTTTGTCCCACGAGACTGCCCCCACTTCAGATGCAATTGCAAGAGCCCACATCCTGTACTTCTGACAAACCAGCTGTAAATCGAATTCAGTAATTCACTAGAATTGTTCAGAGAATGCCGGAAAGCAGTTTACTTATTAGATCACTGGTTTATTATAAAAAGTCATAACTCAGGAACAGGCAGATGGCAGAAATGCACAGGGCACAGTAGGAAGGAAGGGATGCAGAGCTTCCACGCCGTCCTGTGTGCTTCCTCCCAACAACTCTATGCATTCACCAATTCTCTTAGGAGTTTTATGGAGGCTCCATTATTGAGGCACAGTTGATTAAATCATTGACCATTAGCGATGAACTCAACCTCCAGCCCCTCCCCTCACCCAGGACGCTGCAGGGTGTGGGACTGACAGTTCCAACCCTCTGATCACATGGTTGGTTCCCCTGGGAACCAGCCCCCTTCCACAGGGGCTTCCCAAAAGTCACCTCATGAACTTAAATGCAAGTATAGTTCAAAGGGGCTCATTATGAATAACAAAAGGCACTTCTTTCACCTTTGTTATTTCAGAACTATTTCAGGAACTGGAGACAAAAACAAATATTAATGTGTTTCATCAGGAGCTCTGTGCCTGGGAACCTGGGAAGAAGACCAAATATATATTTCTTACTGTATCATGCAGCAGAAGATCACATGTATTATTTTGGACATGATGTCACAGATATATCCCTGAACACTGACTAGGAAGGCTAAGATAGAAAATAAAGGGAAAAATTTAGCGATATAGATCAAGAGTTCTAATATTAACTTATAAAAATTTTAGAAGGAGCAAATACAGAGGAAGAAACAGTTTTAAGATAGTATAATATTTTTATGATCAGGAGAAAGATACAAGTCTTTTAATTGAATGGGCTCTCCATGTCCAGAATAATATGAATTTTTATAACTATTCACATCTAGTTGCACACTGGAGAAATTCCAGATAATAATGAGAAAAATTCTAAAGTCATTCAGACAGAAAAAATCAAACAAAGAAGAATCAGATGCATCAGTAGAAGCTAGAAGTCAAGAGATAAATGTCTTCAACATTATGAAGGAAAATGATTTTGAATCTAGAATTCAATCAACCATGTTTGATGGCAAAGTAAAGACATTTTCCAACATGAAAAAGTCAGAAATTTTGTTTACAAACACATAGGACATGTCTGAAAAAAATTTTTAAAGGTAGTATTTCACCACAATGCAAAATCAGTTGAAGAAAGAAGGTGGAATGATAGTCAAGAAACATTGGCAGCTGAATGAGACCCAAAGGGTGAAGGAGAAACTGCTCAGAAAGTAAAAAATATGGCAAATCCACTTTCAACATTTGAGTTATAGAAGATAATATTTCATTTATTGTATAGTCAAACATACCACTTGGTTCTTTGGGTCATACTATTTACACAATCACAATGTTGTAAATCCTGATGATTGGTTTTTAGTGTGTAGAAACAATGTGTAGAAAATTATGAGATATTTGTCTTACAGAATAGTATGAAAATAGAATCTGAACTTTGTAAAAGTATTTAATTAACTAAAACAGAAATGTGTGATAAGGAAGGATAGAAAGAAGTATGTAATTTCCTTATCTTTCATAGGTACCAGCCCAGAGTTGATAAGCCAAGTCAGAGAGGTTTTAGTGAATAATTTAAATTTAGAATGGCTAAATTTAAAGAACTAAAAACAGGAACTGCCATTAGTGGTTGCTTCTGAGAAGTGAAGCTGGTCTGTGTGATGGGTGAGAGAAATCTTTCTATTCATTTAGTGCAAGATTCTATTTTTATTCTTAACCATGTGCACGTTTGACTAGCATTCTCTCAGGTGGATTTTAAGATTTTTCTCTTTATCTATGATGTCTTATACTACCTCCTATTTATGAATATATTCATTTTTATTCCTCCTGCTTAAAGTACTGTGTACTTGGTTTTAAACCCTGTAGATTATCATCTTTTTTTCAGTTCCAGACAATTCTTTGCCATTACATCTATTTTTCTCTTCTCTCCCTAGTTTCACAATTCTCTCATACTAGAATAACTATTACACTATGTTTAAACTTCTTATTCTTGTTTTTTCCCCAAGTCCCTTAACTTTATATTTTTCTTTATCTCTTTGTGATATAATTTGAGTGATTTCCATAGATCTATCTTCCAGTTTCATTACTCTCCCTTCAGCTGAGTTTTCTTTATGTCAATGACTACATTTTTTTTTTATTTTAAGAGTTCTTTTTTGGGGGGAGGGCTCTTTTTAAATCCAGTCTGACCTTCTTTTATAATGGTCTTATTCTACAGATGCTATTTCTTACTTTAAATCTTTTTATTATTTTCATTATATTATTTTTAAAGTCACTTTTTAGTTGCTTTACTATTTGTAGTTCCTCAGGTGTGGATCTTGTCATTTCTCATGCCTCCTGATGCTCATCCTAATGAGTTTCCATACGTGTTTTGTAACTTTTGTAATTTGGAGTGTGAATTGCCTTCCACAGATACGCTGCAGCAGCACTGGATTGTGTGAACATTTCCATATATACATGTTAGGGAACTTACGGATTTCATGAGTTCTAAAGCAATTTTTATGTTAGTTTCTCTGCTCAGGATTTCCTTACCAAATGGATAGTACACATTTCAGAACCGCACCTTGCAAGAGTAATAGCATTTTCCCCAATATAATGGTTTGGCACGACCTGAATGATTCTAAGAGTAAACACTTCAGACATTATATCAACAACATGATGGATTTGTAGCTTTTTCCCCCCCACAATGCCAGTCTGCCCCTTTTCATTACAATTGAGAAAAATAAATAAGGGGTAAATTGTTAAATAACTTGTGCTGAAGTCTAGTGAATTAAAGGTAGAAGAGATCTAAAAGCTGAATCTCTTTGTTGTTAAAGTGTATTTTCATTTTATGTGGATGGTGACTGATGCTGATTCAATGATAAACCTGTGGCTTTTGTTATTGTACTTAACTTGGGCTTCATGATCCAAGTGCCTGGAACATGGCTTCCTGAGCCTGATCCTACCCTGCTTTGCATGTTATCAAGCATTTTGACAGTGTTAATTCTTTCATGCACAATTAGCAGATTAAAATGGTAATTTTTGTATGTTACTGCTGGTAGGGACACTTACAGGTTCTGTGTTGGCAGATCTTCCTTTGTCAACACTTATTTTGTCTCCCTTTCTTTTAAGTCATGCAATCTGCTTACAAATACCTAAAGCTTTTTGGAGGTAGAAGAGAGAAAAGGGGTGATAAATGGTAGCAGAAGGAGACTGGACTTGGGGCTGAGAACACCCAGTACAATATACAGATGATGTATTATAGAACTCTACACTTGAAAACTATATAATTTTATTAACCAATGTCACCCCAATAAATTCAATAAAAACTTTTTAAAAACCAACCAAATACTTAAAACTTCTTGAAGTCTATTGTTACATCTTAAGATTTATTTTTTCTCCCCATGGTGACTAGCCAAGCATGTGTCATTTTCACATATATAGGGACTCTTGTTATAAACATGTTCTGATTTGGCAATGTATTAATAATTTTCTTCCTACAATTCAATTCAATCTTTCTGGACATATTTGTGTGAAGTTTTCAGGACTGCACTTCCTTTCTACATTTTTATAGAGAGCACACACAAAGTAGGTAATTCTTATTCATTTATCTCATTTAAAGAAAATTATTATGATTGTTTTGTGTTCTGGTTGCAGAACAGTGTGCACTGAACATCCATACAAAGTAGAAGAGCCTTAAGCTGAAGGCACAGGATACTTTTTACCCTGAAGGAGCTCGTGTGGACCAGGAAGCGCTGACAGCTCAAATGGATCCTGTGGAACTGAGAAGTGTCAACATGGGACCTGACGACGAGAGCAGCAGTGGGGACAGCGCTCAGGATAGCTACCCCGGGCTGGGGAGCCTCGAAAAGGCAGCCATGAGCAGGTACGCCTCTCGAAATGGCCTGGCTCTGTGGAAGAATTGGACGGGTTTATGGACAGGGAAAACAAGGTGCTTGTCCGGAAGAACTGGATTGATTACCTATCTGAGAGATAACGATGACATTGATGTTAACACATCAACTCCCTGATCCTGAAGGGCACATTTTATACCACTTTTATACGTGAATCCTCTGTGTGACTAATTTAGAATTGCAGTTACAGTGTTCTTATCCCCATTAAATATATAGAGTAACTTAAATTATATTAGCCTATCACTGCTTTTACCCATTGGATCATTCTATCTTAGATTCCTCTTCCTTTGACTACCCTTTAAAATTTGCTCCATGTCAAGTTCCGGAGGGATTCTTTTCTCACTAAAAGTGCACTATCAGCAAGCTCCTTCATAGCTATCATGGTTTCACCCACTAAATACATGAGATATATATATATCTATATCTGTGTATATGCATACACACACACATATGGAAAGCCATCAGGAGGAAGCACTATTCTTCCTCTAAAGAGTCAGTGCAGTAAATTTTAGGGTTGTTGGACTAGAAAGGCTCTGGAGATGGAATCATGGCACTTTTTAGAGCAGGAAAAACAATGTAGTAAAATTCAGGGCTTTGGAATCTGCATAGTAGTCGCTTAACGCTGGAGAAGATATTTATTTTCATTGAGCTTCAGTGGAAAATGGGGAATGGAAAAGTAGCACCCACTTTTTTGAGAATAAAATAAACACCTAGAATATATATAGAACTCAGTAATCTTTTGTTCTTTCTCCTCTGCTTCATGACCCTTAATGAATAGACCCAAATCTGAGGGCCCTTTTGTTTCTGAGAAGGATGCACACAGATTTGAGCTCTGCAGAGGTAGCCAAGCTGAAGGAGACACTTTCCCAAGGAGAGGTCTATCGAGCCATTCCACTTGGTCCTCTCAAAGCCATAATGGAAAGAGCAAAGATGCTTTTGTTCAGCTTCATACAACATGTTCTGGACTGCTCATAGTGCCTTACCTTTTCACTTCTGACTTAGACATGGGCCATCATTTTCCAATTGAATAATCACCTTAAAACGTGTTTGTTTCTGTTTGGGTTGAATTAATCCCTTAAACGAACATTTTTGAAAAATTCAACATAATGCGTTTATTTGGAATCCTTATACTTGTGTTTTCAATACATACTGGATTCAGATTCAAAACGTTTAGGACACCAGGGACATTTCTCATATATTTTATACAGTCTTGGCATGTTTTATGGATACAACTCATCCCATGCCAAAATAAGATCATGCAAATGCCTTGAAAAAGAAAATCTAATTACTTCCACATTCTAAATTTTAAAAATTACTCATGGACTAAAGGATTCTAAGTTATTGATTAAGGTAAAAAGTAGAATGTTAGATATTTCTGAGTTTAACTCATTTTTATTTTTATCCTTAGGCCCATTTTAGACTCCATTTCATCTTGTTGTCTCAGACTCCAATTATGAATATTATATACCAGTCTCCACATAACAAGTATATTAACTACAGACTAAAAAAAGCACAAAAGTGGGAGAGTGCCGAGATGGAAGAGGGCAGCGTCTGAGGGCCACACGCTTCCCCTGAGAAATAGGAGAGAACACCAGGGAATGTTTCTAATTTGTTTGCGCACTTGAGGTTCTTGAAAACCCACACCTTAGGTTCTAGAAAGCACGTAAAACTTTGTGATTTTGTTTGTTGGTTTTATCAATACCAGATAAGTGTTCTCCATTCTCAGAAGGTAACCTCATTATCCTTCCTCCTCACAAGATTATTTTCAGGATTCATTCCGATTATTAAATATAATTTGCACAGTTCTCCCATAATAATTATTTTCCACTTTTCTAAGTGTTATTTTAATGAAATATTCTCCAGTTATTTTATCTTACTATGTCATGTAAAAAATGCTCTAAAAATCACAACCATCTAATTATAAAACAATTTTTTAATTGAAATTATTTTTATTATATAAACCATGTCTCTGAGGACAAGGCCATATATTACATTATACAACAATAACATGATAACCAAAAGCCCAGCAAGAGGGCATATACTAACAATTTTCAACCAGCATCCATTCTCTCTTTCTATTTTATTTTTAATCTTTATTGTATTTTTTCACAATTCAGTCCCCTGATACTCCATGCCCATGTCCATGAGCTCTTTTTCTTTTTTGCTCAACCCCCTAACCTCGCCCCCCTCAGCTGCCACCCTGCTCTCCGTCTGTGAGTCTGTCCCCCTTTTTCTTGTTATTTCCATTGTTCCTTAGATTCCACATATGAGTAAAATCATATGGTATTTGTCTTCCTCTGAGTGGCTTATTTCACTCAGCATAATGTTCTCCAGGTCCACCCATACTGTCGCAAAGTATAAAATTTTCTTCTTTTTTACAGCTGAGTAGAATTCCGTTGTGTAAATGTCCCATAGTTGTTTTACCCACTCATCTACTGATGGACACTTGGGCTGCTTCCATACTTGGTGATTGTAAACAACACTGCAATGAACATAGGGGTGCTTATGTTCTTTCGAATTAGTTCCTTTGGATGTATTCTCAGAAGTGAGATAGCTTCGTCGAAAGGCAGATCCATTTTTAGTTTTTTGAGGTGACTCCATACTGCTTTCCACAGTGGCTGCACCAATCTGCATTCCCACCAACAAGGCAAAAGTGTTCTTTTAACTCAGAAGCATGCATTGTTGAGCATTTCATATGACAAAAAGAAAGCCTCTCTGATATTTTGCAGCGTCAAAATGCAATGGTGGCAGCTGGACTCATTAGTTAAGCCTCCTGGAAATGTGGCTGAGACTAGATTCATACCCTCATAGCCCCTGGCATGTGACTGCAGGAGCTGACCAGGACGGGTAGGGCTGAGCGGCTCCCAGCCCGTGCCCAAGTAGACCACAATCTCAATGTTCCCTCAAGAGTGACATTTTAATGCCCTGCTTCCCTCTCAACTCTCCTGCTAATTCATTGGGTCTCTTCAATGTTTTTCTTAGTTTCATTCATTGCCTAATAACCCAAGCATATTTTCATAGCAATTGAAATATACCAATTCACACAACAAAAACAACCAAACACAACACTGAGCTACCACTGAACTACTTTCCTGCAAGGGTTATATGAATAAATAGGTGGAACCAAAAAAGAGGAAAGTATCCGCGGGATGCTGGACACGGAGCCTGCTGGGGGTAGGCATGCCACTTCACCTACCTGAGCCACAGCCGCCAGTCCTTAGAGTAGGGGCACCATAAGCACTCTCACAGGGATATTTGAGCATCAAATAAAATGAGGACCATAGTGCCTAGGCACTTAATAAGTATTTATTGAATTAATAAAATCCGATTATGTTGTGGTAGTAGCTGAGAAACCTCCATTACAACTCTTTATCCTTCCTTTGGAAGGGCTCTAAGTGAGAACAAAATTAGTTCTAATTATTCTCTTCCCTGCACAGTTAATGTGGGGAGGAGAAATATGGCTTTAAAAATTCCAGCTAAAACCAGTATTTTCTTCCATAACTTCTTCCCTCCTTCCCATAACTGGAGCTCAGTTATTGGTCTTGAAGGAACACTTGTGAGGAGGAAAAGAGAAAAAAGAGTTTTGGGTGTCTTGTTTTTCCTCCCCTTAGTCAGTTACTGAGATCACCCGAACACATAAAATATAATTCAGAACATTGACTTAGATGTGTTTACTTTCTTATTTTCTTTTTTATATGTGTGTTCAGTCAATTTGCTAATGAAGATGATGAAAGTCAGAAATTCCTGACAAATGGATTTTTGGGGAAAAAGAAGCTGGCAGATTATGATGATGAACATGTAAGTGGACCTCTGCTCTCAGGCAATAAACAGGACTTGAGGGTGTCTCATCTACCTAGGTCTCTGTGGGAAAACAGTGTGACTGAAATTTTCCAAGCCTTGATCAGCACATTCTCTGTTTATTCAGGCCCTTACTGGAATAAGGGCTTGTTTTTCCTGTTCGCCATATGGCTACATAAATCATTTATGAAATTTATTTGTTTTTTGGAGAAATCATTCTAACCCAAATGTAATCTGCAATCATACATGCTTTCCCTTCTTTATGTTATTCAACCTGTATTTTCTCTTTTTACTGAGACCCTTGCTAAGGCTCAGCACAGCATTCCATTGAAAATTACATGGTTTTTTATTGAAGCTGAGTCAATAAAAAGCTTTCATTCACTGTGATTTTTATCTTAGTCTTTTATCTTACACAATAATCTCCAGTAAAGATAATGTGAAAATAAGAATAATCCAAAAGTGGTTCATCTTCTGGGAAATATTTGCTTATAATGTGTCCCTTTTTCTTCAAGCATCCCGGAACCACCTCGTTTGGAATGTCTTCATTCAACCTGAGCAACGCCATCATGGGCAGCGGCATCCTCGGCCTGTCCTACGCCATGGCCAACACAGGGATCATACTTTTTATGTGAGTGAGCGGACATGCCTGCCTTGGGTTTGAAGCCCATGCATACCTGGTGTTCTTCTAATTAACAGTTTGAACTTTGATCTTTGTGCACAGAAATAATCTGAGAAATTATTAGCAGATCCCTCTTGCTTTTGGGTAAAACAGCAACTTGAAGAATAATCAGAGCAGTTGAATCATGGTCCTTGTTCAGCCACCCATCCCCTAACCAAATGGCAGAAACTTTACGTGCTCAAACAACCAAAGTGATGGAGGGGCTCCCCAACCCCAGTCTACAGGACCATTTTAGAAAGAAATTCATTATTCAGTGGATGCTTACAATAATTTGGTGTTTAATAGTCAAACGATTTTTCTCAGAAGCAAATCTGACTTTATAACACTCTTAGGAGAGAGACCCATGCCATCCAGGGCCCTGCATACTCTGGGCCTCTGTCATCCCTCATCCCTCATGTCTCTGGGCACCAGGTGTACAGGGCACACTGTCTCTCCATCCCATGAAGATGCTCTGTTTTTTTTCTCACCACAGGGCCTTTGTATATGCTGTGGGAATCCTCTCCTTTTCCTTTTCATGCAGTTAACTCCTGACATCTGAGCTCAGCCTCATCTCTGTGCTGGCTTCCCCAGCCTCCGTGACTGGGACAAACTACCTTATGATACACTTAATCACCATTTTAAATATTTTAGTGCAGTTGTATGATTCATTTGATTAATGTCTATCTTCCTTGCTACACCATAATCTCCAGACAGTTGAGCTTATGTCTGTTTTTACTTATCACATGTCTATATCCCCAAGACCTAGTACTGGCTTGGAACAGGGAATATTTGTGGAATGGCCCGAGTTTATTCTTAAAGCTATGCACTTTAATCAAACATGGCCAAATGCTGCCTAAGATTAGTAATGTCACATAGCTGACCTGGGGGATGGATGCTGCATTGTCTGTGACAGACAGCCACAGATGTCTGTGTGCATTACATACTCCCTGGTGTTTTCCAAGACACAGTTGGCAGCACTGAAATTCTTCACAGGAATAAAGTCTAATGTTAACCAGGCATCTGTGTGAATGTAGACCACAATCTCCAGTGCAATGCTAGAGCATTAAATGACTGTCTAAGAATGCAACATTTGTATTACCCATATATGCTATTTATGTCCTGAACATCACTTATGATTAGATAATCACACAGCTATTTGCGAGCGAAGTATCAGACACGACTATAAACATTTATATTGTGTTAGTGCTTTCATTGAAGTGTTTTAGTTACAATATTGTTTAGCTGAATGGGTTTTTATATTCAAAATCAACTTGATTTTTATAAGCCATGTTTGAAATAAACTCATTTGTAAGATTTTCTGAACCTTAATGACTATAGACGTATTCACATATGTTGCTGTATATATACTTTTTCTCATTAATTATGTATACTATCAAAATAATTAGGAAGCCAGCATATATCACTGATGAAAAGAAAAAAATCATTTCCCTGTCCTAGGGCCAGATTATTCTCATGGGAGGAGAATATTCCACTTTTAAAACCAAGGGCCTCATTTCAGGCTTATAAACATGTAGCAGATTAATTTGGCCAGATAAATTAAGTTGCTAGACATTGGGGGTATGTTTTGGGTATCTAAGCAGCACAGATTGGATTCAGCTCTCTCTCTTAATTCACAGCAAGTAACACAGGATTTCATTGGTTTTACTCTTAGTATCTTCTGCCAAAGCAAGCCTGTGTTTAGAATACAGGATATGTTCAGTACTTTTCCAACGAACAAAATTGTGCAATCTAAATTACGTAATGCTTTAAAAACAGATAAGTTCATGAGGCATACAGAAAAATATATGAACAAGTCATTGATTATTTAGTTCTGGTACTGCATAGTAGAGTAGTTATAAAGTTAATAACTCATGGTCCAAATGTACAGCTGCAACACTGACTTCACAGGAATTACCGAAGAATATGATCAATTGCAGGAAAAATGTTTAGTGTGCCCTTATCTTGTAAAAACAGACAAAGAATACAGGGTTGTTCTTTTTTTAAGGTCAGGTAAAGTTTAGTATTGCTCCTTTAATTATTATATAACTGGCTCTATCCGTCTTATTTTTGCTCCTCAATTCTTGATCACCATCTACATAAAGAGATCATACATGCATATGGACATGTGGAGGGTCCTGAGATGATTTTTTCTGAATATAAATTTCCCTGCACCTTATACTTACGTTTCTCTGTTTCTCTCTTACACAGGCAATTGCTTGCCCCTCTGGGTCTCCCACTTGACCTCTAAGTGCCGGGTCAGTAGTGATGGAGCTCAGTCTCTGCATGCTGTGGCTTCTGTTTCTAGATTTTAGATTAAGGTTTAGTCAGACTATTGAATAACCCTTCAATTATATATGTTGGTGCACTATCATGCAAATATGATGTACATAGGCCCATTGACTGAGAAAGTAGTTGTGGTATTTGCTAATTTTGCCATACATTTAGCATCCTAGTTAAGTTATGAACCAGATTTTATTACAGGGTAACATTAAAAAAAAGATATGTTAGGAATTTCAGGTAGTGAGTTTTGGTACACAAGTAGCCAATTCCATTTTTGTGACATTAAAGAGTATGTGTGGAGCTCTGAAATGAATATCTCAGCTTCCCCCAAATCCACACACTTTTGAAAGTTAATGATTGAAAAGACCAATGTGATAACTTATTGTAATATCTGTTATTATGCCTTATTTATTTTTTACTCTCTATTCCCTTCACAGAATCATGCTGCTTGCTGTGGCAATATTATCACTCTATTCAGTTCACCTCTTATTAAAGACTTCGAAAGAAGGAGGTATGCTGCCTGTTCATTAAGTCTAAAATGTTCCATTTTGTTTCTTATTGAAGGGTATGTCAGTCTACAGCTCCATAACTACAGGATGATTTTGGTCAACTTCACATGCCATTTTCTTCTGACCCCAATGACATGGTTTCTCAATGTTTTTAGTTATTTGGGCAACTAAGAGCAATAAAAGTCAACTGGCTCAAGTGGAAGCCAAAGAGATAAAGAGATTTTTGGTGAATAATGCAAATAAGAGTTTCAACTTGTTTCGTGGAGCTTACATGAATAAAGTCATTACTTCTTGTTGAGAATATTTTAATATATTTTGCATTCTTTTTGAGATTGTGCCTTTTGAGTTTATAATTTCTATGTGGTGTTTATTCATATGTGAGACTCCAGTTGAGAATTATATTATAGAATTATTGTAGTCTAAAATAATCAATCTTTTTTAACAAGGGCATTTTATTTTTGATTGTAGGGTCTCTAATTTATGAAAAATTAGGTGAGAGGGCATTTGGATGGCCTGGAAAAATCGGAGCTTTTACTTCCATTACAATGCAGAACATTGGAGGTAAGGGGATATAGCTTTCAATAAGCTACTTAAACTTTCTAAAGAATGTTTAATATATAAGAAAACTGTTACAGCAATACACAAGCCCTTAAATACAGAAAAATAGATGCTTTGTAGTTTTTAAATTTAAAAAAATGTTTTTTTAAGTAGACTCACTCTCCTTTAATTAAAAAAAATAGCAATATGTAAGAATGTAATACTATTTAAAACCCTACCGATTGAATTCTAGAATTAAAATATAGAGTAAAACCTTCCTTGAAATCTGGGTGTCAGCCTAAATCTTCCCCTCGCTCTCTAACCCTGAATGTTCAATCAAACACCAGCCAGCTCCTGTTCATTCTATCTCTTAACCTCTTCAGTCTTGCCTCTCATTCTCTTCTTATCACCATAGTGATCACCTGAACTTGAGCTTCCCCTGCTCCCATCTCTAACTCATTCTCCAGATTAAGTTTCTCAAATTCAAATCTACTTTTGCTTCTCCTATGCCTAAGATTCTTCTTCCACCTACCCTCCCGATACCTTTCCTACCAACACTCTATCTATCTATCTATCTATCTATCATCTATTAATATCTGTTTTGCTATTTCTCTATCTATCCCCTATGTGTCCTGTGTCATACTATAACAGACTATATTCACTTCCCCTATTCTTGCAGTCTTCCACCCTAACACATACAAACATATAATTACACAGATTCATCCTCTCTCTCTCTCTCTCTCTCTCGCTCTCTCTCTCTCTCTGTCTCCTCCCATGATCTACCACTTCTCTAGGCTTTTAGGAACTACTGTTCCTTAGTTCCTCTGGGCTTTTATAGCTCTCTTTGTGGGTATTTTGTCTGTCATTATTTTTAAAAGGTATTTTAAAACCCTTGCATAGATAACAGACTTGTGGATTCTGATGCATTATGGGTTCTGAATTTGAGTCTGTTTCTGTCACAATCTGTGACCTTGGGAAAACCACTTTACTCCTCTGAGTCTAATTTTCCATCTATGAAAATAAGAGCAATATTCCACTCTCACAAGGTCATCATAAGGATGAATGAAATAAGACAACATAAGGCACATTATATGGGTTCAGTACATGCTTCTTTCTTGCCTGGCTATCAATTCAATATCCACATCTCCTGAGCCCTTCTGATTATTTTTTTAAATGGGCATTATTATAATTTTAAGACAAATAAATGCTAACTGTGAAAACTAAAGCATTACATAAAATATAAATGACAAAGAAATGTTAATGTAAGTCACCCTAGAAATAACTACTCCAGGTTTTTCTCTATGCCAAATTTAACGAATATATTGTTTCTGTTAAAATTGGATCTTCTTATAATACCAGTTTGCAGTTTGCTTTTTTAATTTAACAGTATGCCTCAGGTATATTTATATATTATACTTTTTAATGACTTTTGAGTTTTCCATTGTGCAAATGTAGCAAAATTAGTTTACTAAATCAGTTATTGATGAACAGTTGGATTGTGTCCAGTTTTTCACTATTACAAACAATGTTGCAGTAAATAAACTTGCACAGTGATCTTGCAAATACGTAACCCTGTTGGATAAATAAAAATGGATAAAAAATAAATAAAAACCACTGGAGTTATCTAGGATTTTGGGAATGTAGCAATTCTTTATAACCTTTATCTAACCTTACCTGCTATTGGTCAGGCATAGTTGTAAAGCAGAGCCAGGAGAGTAGCTAAGCAGATAAAATCCAAGGATATATTTATTTCTTCTTATATTTGTTTCTCCTCATATTTTTATGTACTAGGACTACAATCTTGGGCAGAATTTGGCAGTAACACCAGGATTGCTCCGCTCATTTTACTGGTTTGGGGTCATAAGTATTTAAGTCCCCTTATCCCCCCATCCTCCACCAAATAGACTGCTCTACATTTGGTTCAAATTTTCATCCTTATCAAGATTTAAAGTACCAAGGATGTCATAGGATCACCTCCTAGTTGACCTATTTTACTTGTTTGGACAACTGAAATAGCCATGCACATATTTAGCCCTGAATCTGACAGGCTGAGTGACAATAGCACTGTCTGTTGCTCAAAGTATAGCTGCTATTGTGCTTCTAGATAATGGAATGAACTACCAAGTGGTCTCTTGATCAAACCACACACATGAAAAGAAGTGTGGCTTTAAGGGAGTAAGATAAAATTTTATATTGTTCCTGACAGTGTTCTCACTTTGGTTACTCTAAATGTTTAGTGGTTATTTTGCCCTAAGGGAAATCACTTGTATTTCTGTATTTAGCAACTCCACATTTAGAACATTCAATTTTCTCAGTCCCCTGAAAATTAACATTTACCATGGATGTTTCAACACCAGCAGAATAATGTTGACATTACCTAGACAGGTCAGGATAATTCTGAATTTTTGAAGACCAAACACATTAACAGGGGTAACATCATTGAAAGTCAGCAATAATAGCTTCTAAAATTGAGCGGTACCTCACAGAGCCAGTTAATCAGAAATATCTCCTCTGTTTACACTCTGTAAGATTTAGCTTTAGCCAAGGTCTTTGTAAAGATTAACCAAATAATGTTTGCAGAAAATACGTCAGGTATTGTAAAAATCATTCCACTTCACAATAGAGAAGAAGCCACTGGCTTGAAATCAGGGAACTTATATTTTGGATGTGGACTGTCCTTTTCAGGCTATGTGATCTTGAACATGTCATATAAGTTTTATATCCTAAGCTGTGGAATGAAAATAATGGTATATATCTTGCCATTTAAATGGCATAATGTGCAGAACTGAACACCATTATTACATTTGTTTGAGGTTAAAGAAATATCTTTAAAATTCATTAATATTAATAGTTCTATTTACAACTTAATGTCTGCTTTAATATCTGTTAGATATAGCAAGGACTCATGGACAAAACCAAAGGGGAAGAGCTGAGGGAGGGAGGGGGCAAGGGAGAATGGTGGGGGGAGAGGCAGAGACAAATGTATTTGAAAAAAAAAATTTAAAAAAATTAAATTAAATTAAATTTTAAAAATGTTAGCAAAAACTTGCCAGAAGGATGTAGCATACAGTTAATGCTAACAATGTAAAACTTGTCCGTTTATTTTTGAGTCTTTTGACTGTGTGTCAAATAACAAATCAGTATTATACTTCACTGAGCGGGTGGACTTGGCAAAGGGATGTTGCATAAACCCCTACAACTGTAGGCAAAATTGTCTATTATGCATATATATACACATATACACTTTCCCAGGGTTTGGGTTTACAGATTTCATCAGGTTTTCAGAAGCGTACACGGTCACACATATGTCACTTACCTAGATGCTCAGGAAATGTTCCCATTTTGTGTAACTTCTAATATGGCCAAGGGGAACCAGGATGTAGAGGAGAAAAAAACTGCATTGACCAAGAGGGGAGAAGCTGTCCTGTCCTGTACGCTCATCAATCCCGCATGACTCCAGTTTAGATCCACTCGCGGGGATCACGGAGGCCCAGACGGGCACCCACCTGGGGAGAGCCAGAGCAGCAGGTGCCCTGCCCTGCGTCCCCCGCCACACTGACCTCTCCTTCTGGCCCATGCGTTTTGTTGCCGACGCTCCCTCAGACTGCGCGGACGCTGAAACAGGCGCCCTCAGGGTAGCCCCATGATGACTCAGAACTAATGAGGGGCGAACCTTCCGATTGCAGCTTCACCGAAAGCCTCAGAGAAGGATTTAACACAGAATCATCACTGATACCGTTAGTGAAGTTCCATACACAAGAGGCAGAGGGCCAAATGAGTATTTTTGAAAAGCACTTGGAAGCAGTACAAAATACACAGTGGGTGACTTTTCATGCTGTTTGGTGGATTCAACGCTCATCTTACTGGGAGGAATGTATATTCCAAATGCAAGGACTTCTCACAAGTTACCTGTGACTTTAGTGCTATGAACCCTACTAAGCTGTCATGTTTTTCATTTTAGCAATGTCAAGCTACCTCTTTATCATTAAATACGAACTACCTGAAGTAATCAGAGCATTCATGGGACTTGAAGAAAATTCTGGGTATGTCTTAGCTTCTCTCTGTAATGTCCAGTGACTCGTTCTAGTTGGTCTTTTCCAATCCCAATATTCTGGTCGGTTTTTCTCTTCTAGAGAATGGTACCTCGATGGCAACTACCTCGTCATATTTGTGTCTGTTGGAATCATTCTTCCACTTTCCCTTCTTAAAAATTTAGGTAAAGTCATTTTTTATTTTAATTTTAATTTTATATTGTAATAACAAGCTGATTGTAGATGCTGTATTAACCTTCCCGAATTTCTCTGCCAACTCCTAGGTTACCTTGGCTATACCAGTGGATTTTCTCTTACCTGCATGGTGTTTTTTGTCAGTGTGGTAAGTGATTTATTGACATGATTCTTGTAGCTTGGGGAGCATGAGGTGCATTTAGTGCCTAAATTAGTGTTCTCTTTTTCGTTCAAGCACCTCACTAGCATGAAATACTTCTTGTATCACAAGCATTTTCTTTTTTTTGTTTTCTAATTTGGAGTGAGAAAAGAACAGTCAGAACAGTCATGAGTTTAAAAATAGTTGAGTTAGAATGTCAAGACCATAGCTAATAGTATGTTTCAGGCACACAATACATATTTGGACAAAAAGAACACTTCAAGGAGGAACATGACAATAACCTAGTAGTTAGAAATGTGGAGAAATAAGATGATATGAGTCCCAGGAAAGAAATGAGTAGGCGACAGAATCAGCCATATCCACATGAATCAGCCATGTTCTCCTACACGTTCCACCCATGAAGAGAGGCAACCACAGTGGGATTAAAGCAGAAATCTCTCCTAACCTCCCTCCAATCCTAGAATCTCCCCCCAAAAGAGAATTTCTCATAACATTATAGCTGCCAAATTTTAATTTCTCCAAAGAGGTAGAGAAGAAGAATTTTTAATAACCTATATTATTGTTAGTTTGAAGAAATAAAGGATGTGAAATAGAGCAAGGAAATGATCATCTTTCTCATTAAAGAGTATGCGTGAAGTTTAGGATGGATTCATGCAAAATACTGTCCTGTTGACCCCGAGGGGCAGGGCTGCCAATCATAGTTCCAACTCTTTCCTTAGGACAGAGGCTAGAGGGGGTCTCCATTATCCCTTAGTCTAAAAGGAATCCTCAGCAAAGGCCTCTTCACCTTCATCCCATAAGGCACACGTATGGATTTTCATTTCATTGTTTTCCTCAAGAGGCTAACTTTTTTTTGTAATGACTGTGTCTAGGTGATTTACAAGAAATTTCAAATACCCTGCCCTCTGCCCATTTTGGATCACAATGTTGGAAACCTGACATTCAACAATACACTTCCAATGCACATGGTAATGTTGCCCAACAACTCCGAGAGTAATGGTGTGAACTTCATGATGGATTATACCCACCAGGATCCTACAGGGCTAGATGAGAACCAGGCCAAGGGCTCTCTTCATGGCAGTGGAGTCGAGTATGAAGCACACAGTGACAAGTGTCAACCCAGATACTTTGTCTTCAACTCCCGGGTAAGTGTGAGGCATGGGCCCCTAATGAGCCCAGCAGCGTGCCCCTGAGTTTTTATTTCATTAACTGAGATGGTCTGTGATTGCCTTCTGCATTGGGATGCTAAACATGCGGTATTGTCTTTGTTTTGCAGACGGCCTATGCAATTCCTATCCTAGCATTTGCTTTTGTATGCCACCCTGAGGTCCTTCCCATCTACAGTGAACTGAAAGAGTAAGGCCGCCATCCTTTTAGCATTCTAATTTGCTTTGAAAATGGGCTCCTATGTTCAAAGGTGCTTTATTCAGAAGCATGGTTTATAGCTTTCTCTTCAGAGAAAGTGTGTGCTACAGCCACTCTTCAGTAATGTGCTTGAACCAAAAAGGTGTGAATCAAACTCCTCCCTGCACTACCTTGTCTGCTTCCTTCTCTTCTGTTCCTCCATCTTAAGGGTCCAGAGGAGGGGACTCAGGGAGGGGGAGGAGAAGCCAAAGGCTTTAAGGATTGTGGTGGGCATGGAGAATTTGAATTCAGGTTTTTATAGAAAGAAGTGATGTCACCTGAACTGGGAATTAGCATACTCATAAAGACCGAAAATTATGGGTAGGGTGACCTTACTAAGCCACTGATGTCACTTGTTGTCAGTCCCTAGCCGTTGTCTAAAAGACATTCACCACCAAGATGTACCAATGTATGATCTTCATGGTCTTACCTGTACAATGGAGACACTGGGTAGGCAATCCTGTTTCTCCCAGCTGATATTCTACAAATCACTAACACTCTTTTCCCTTTGAGGTTGTTGACATCTACTTGAGGATGAGTTGGATCTGAGCCCACTATAGCAGCTTCCCTGTTCCCTTAAGGGACAATGTCTCATAATTTTCAACTTCTTTAGTCCAAACGTCAACAATGTCAGTCTTTGTTTCCACAAAATAGCAACAATTTTCCCCATAAATTCTGATTTACCTCATACAAAATTTTTGGGATTTTTATTTTGATGTCTTTGATTTTCTTGGAAGATCACATATAGCGGTACTCTAGAGGCCTGACAATTGACTTTTAGCCACTGGGTGCCTTCTAGAATGGTTTCTAAAAGTTGTCCAGGTATACATTTCAAGCATCCTGAAATAACATCAGAATTCCTGCAAGTAGGGTTTTGCTGATTCTAGTACATACCTGTCCTCATTGAACCCACCTCATTATGAAATATTAGGGTTTTCATATTAATTATATTCTTAAAATCTCAGTAGACAAGCTTACTTATCAGCATAAAGTAAACTGATCCTCTTCTAGAAGATTGGAAGGCTAAAGGAGTGATGTTTTAGAAAAATGGAGACAAATCCTTCATGACTCTCTAAGATAAATTTAAACAAGCTAGCTATGCTTGTGAACCTGAATGAGGTTTTATAATGAGTAGCACAAACACACTTTCTTTCATTATTTCCTTATTTTAATTGTAAAACGTGATCTGTTCATAAATTTAGAAAAACAAAACTCAGTGTTCCTTTTCTTTTTAGTCGGTCTCGGAGGAAGATGCAAACAGTGTCAAATATTTCCATCACGGGGATGCTCATCATGTACCTGCTTGCCGCCCTCTTTGGTTACCTAACCTTTTATGGTAGGTCGGTCACTTTGTCAAGGTCATTCTCTTTTTGCATATCCTAGTTGGACTGATCATTAACCCAGAAGGGTATCATTCTGTTAATTACCCTCTCAAGCAACATGAACTGTAGATACAAGTACTTAGTTAACATGCTGTCTTAGCCATGCCACTTGATCTAAGAAAATGGGATCCGAACCAGCTTGGTTAACAGGTTACAACAATTTGTAAATCCACACATATTTCATTTAAAATATCTCTCAAATTTAATTGTTTTCCTTCTGGAATAGATGATATTTCTTTGGCTTGACTCCCTGGTCGATCTCAGTCTAGAAGCAATGAGAGTGAATCCAATTGCATGTTGTAAAACTATTAAGCGAATGGCAGGAAAAAAACAACAACACAGCATTGCTGAGTTGGAACTTGCTTCTTATTTACCAGTCAAGTTGAATTTGAGGGCTTGAAGCATTAGGCATTTTTTTCTTTTTTCTTTTTCTTTTCTCCCTCTTTTTCTTTTTTTTCTTTTCTTTCTCTCTCTCTCTCTCTCTTTTTTTTTTTTTTTTTGGTTTGTTTTTGCTCATCCCATTCTATACTATTATAGTGCATGGTTTCCTAAAGAAAGAAAATTACATGACAGAATTCCCTTCAATCTGTGAATGTACTATCAAAACAAAATGTGACTATGGCCACATTAGATAATACTTAAAACATTTCCTCTATGGCGTGTTAACAGGACACAAAAAGGAATAGGACTGATATTCCCTTATAGGAAGCATGGCCTTATAGACAAATTTCAGGGAGTCAAACATGGAACAGCTAGCATTTGTTCACACTAATCAATGTGAGATACATACACACACACACACACACACACTCACACTTTTTATATAAACTTAACTTTTTGCATTCTTCCAAATGACTTGAAAAATGAAAGTGATTGCAAGACAAGTTGGGGAGGAAAAAGCTGGAGGAAAGGGATCATCATTTGATTGAGCTTTATTCTATTTGACTAATATTTGGCTATTAAACAAGTACTTGCTTTAGACTGGGCATTAACTCCTTGCTGGTTTTGAGTTAATAAGTCAGGTCAATACCACTGAAGATTTTTTTTAATCCACCTTTGTCTGATTTTGAGGTGAGTAGTGGGAAAATCAGACTATACCTGGTTCTATCGGCATGTCTTTGTGCCTGAAATTTTGAATGAATGTGTTTTCCAGGAAGGCAGCTTGTTAATCTTAGAGCAATATTCATTGGGAGACCTTGTAAAAATCATACTAACTCATCCTTACATGTTAATTATACTGACTCTGAGTTTCCTAAGATGAGCAAAAACTTGAAAAAGCCAAATGTAAGTTTATCAGTCTTGTCATGGAGTTATAACTGTTGAGCTTGAAAAAATGTTTGAGATCATTTATCCAGGGTTTCCCTACTGGGTTATGAGAATCTGCCTCAAGGCTGGCTGGGCAGGTGGGGGCAGAAGAGAGTGACAGGATGTGAGGGACAGTTGGCGGGGCTTGGGCTTTGGACGCCCTTCTCCCAGAGCACCTCAGTCTATCGTCTGTTTTGTGAGGCTTCTGTAGAGCGGAGATAGGTTTATCACCATGCAAATAAGCTAGAGAAGCCTCTCAATGATTTCCTATTAGCTTCTGCAGCTTACAAAGGTTCAGAACCCCTTTGTTCAACGGTCGCAGAGCTAATAAACTCAGAGACACGGTTAAAACAGAAGCGTCTGGACTCCCAGACATAAGTTTTTCCTGCTGAACTATGTTCCCTCCATAAAATGTTGAGATAGGTAATCAGTAATGACTTGACAACATCGAATGAACTCTTTCTATTCTTCCTCTTTGCAGGAGAAGTTGAAGATGAATTACTTCATGCTTACATCAAAGTGTATACCTTCGACACCCCTCTCCTCATGGTACGCCTGGCAGTCCTTGTGGCAGTAACGCTAACTGTGCCCATCGTGCTGTTCCCAGTAAGTACATACAGTTTTGATGAAAGAATCCTGCTTGACTCCATAGATTAGTACATATGTTCTGACTTGATTTGGGTTTAATTGTAACCTAAGTTTTCAATTGCAATGCCTGAGGACATTATTATTTTTATATAGCATTTTGGAGCCACTTAAAATTGACTACTTAATATGAGAATAGAGCAAATATTTTTTAAATGTTATTTTATTTTAAGACTTCATTTATTCATTTCTAGAGAGAGGAGAAGGGAAAGAGAAAGAGAGAGAAACATCGATATGTGAGAGAAACATTTATCGTTTACCTCTTGCATGCCCTCAACCAGGGACCTGGCGCGCAATACAGGCATGTGCCCTGACTGGGAATCCAAGAGTGGCTTTTTAGTTCACAGGCCAGCACTCGACCCACTGAGCCACACCAGCCAGGGCCAGATATTTTTTGTTGTTAAGAGTTGTTGAAGTATAGGGAAAAATCATGAACTTTATATTTATTTTCCAGCCTTATTGAGGCAGAAATTTATTTTTAAATTCAAATTCAAAAAACAGATCTTGAGCTCTTATCTTGTGGATTAGTAGACATGAGTAGGAATTCATATAACTTCTGAAACTTGAAAGCCGAAACCACAATAACTTGCAAGTCATACTACATTTTCACCATAGTTTTGAAGGTATTTCATTTTTTTCCCCAGTTTATGTGCAACGATAACATCCAAAAGTCACCTTATTTAATTCCTTGAAGACTAATGAGAAGGGGATTCATGTTAAGGAAATTGCATCCTAAAACCAAATTTCTTGAAAAAGTTATATCATCCATCATGTATCTCTTTTACTTCTCCCCAAATTGACACACGTCCTCAATGCATTGCCCTTTCTTGGCATTTGCCATTGACGTCATTTTTTCTGGGATCACAGAGCAGGGCTGGTTGTGGAGGTTTGGGCAGCGTGAGTTAAAACCACCACCTATGGATAAACATAGGTCTGCGCTTTGCTGCCAACTCTTCTCCTTTCATAAACACTGAATTTACTCATTCATTTCAGGGGAAAAAATAAGCGACACAGTAACCAGCACTGTCCTGTACGGAATGTTCCGTACGGGGCCAAACATACGAGGACTACTCATGTAATGACTGCGGTTACTTTAAATGCAGTTTGTGTCCTGAAATATTTTTTGGCACATTCCTTTTTCGTGAGTGCATGAAATCAGATCCTTATTACTGTGTTGGCTAATATTTACTGTTAAATAATGTCTTGCCTCTCGTGTATCTGAAAGTATTTTAAATGACACACACACAGCTTTAGCCTAAAATCAGCTCCATGGTGGGTACAAAGCAGAAGACAGCTGTAGACAGACAGGGTAGGATAGGGTAACATTTCTAGGCAAACAACGTCACTGGGAGAAGAATATCGGGAGCCTTTCTTTCTGTACGTAAAGATAGCACTAACTAAATTTTGGTACACAGTAGGTACATCATTGTTCAATCAAAGCATTTTATAAAAGAAATCTGGTATGTGCTTCTGTATTGCTGTATTCATACAGCCTAAATACAGTGCTTTCAAGTCTTGGTCTCAGGAGATTAACAGACTTGGCCGTGGTCACACAGCTAGTGGGTAATTGTTGAACTAATGCAGTGCTCCAAGCGTAACACTGGCGGCTGGATCATGACAATGGAAAGTACAAGTCAGCCTTTCATTTACTGATGACCTTTTCACCTCAACATTAATAACCCCAACATCCCCATAGACAGTCTTCCCTTGTGTCATAGATAAGGCAGTGGTATAAATCTGGCCATCAAGAGTCATAGTAGTTTTGAAATTCCCCCCATTAGATGTCCATTACAACCAAAATTGACCATTGCGAACAAGTTTCAGAAAAATAATGAACTGCTCTCCTTCATTATCCAACGTTGGCTTTTACAACACCTTCTACATGTAATTCTGTTTTGCCCTGACAGTGTCACGTGGAGATGATCTGTATGCGCGTCCACATTTCCCTGGGTTATAAATCCCTGGAGGTTAGGGATATACACAGTGACTGATGTAGGAGAGTCTCAGCAAAGTTCACTAAGAAAAATGCTCTCCAAATGAATCGTACCTTTCCTGGAGATGTACAAACTCCCTTTTCTAGCAAAAGCATAGACTGTTCCCCTTACTGATATTCGTCTCTAATTCCAGTTTGGGTGAACGTCTGGGCTGAATGAATGGAGCCTCCGTGGATGCGCGAGATGATGTAGATGGGGGTCCAGCCTCCCTGTCTCAGTCAGTGCCACACGGCTACATTCAGACGCTTTCCCCCACAGTGACAGAAAAGTTGTTAGTGGTGTTTTTGTTTCTTACAATCTTAGAGCCAAGAATTTCAAGGTATCAAATGCTGAGTCACAGTGTGGTTCTCCTGACAGGTTTCTTTGTATCAGGAGACTCTTGACAGATAAGAAGGTTATTTACTTCATCTTGCTATCCCTATAGAAATAATGAAGCAAACAAGCAAATGAAACGCACCTCCTCCCCAAGGACTAGCTGTGCTTCCCCTTATGTAGTAAGATTCACACCGCACCATGAAACACAGAAAAACAAGTGATTCTAACAGGTTTATTAAGAACTCAGAGATTTAGATTCCACCTGCCACAGCTTACAAAAAAGAGATCATGTCTCAGATTCTCTAGTTACTTTTATTTTATTTTACTATAGTAAAATTATTCTTTTTATGTATGTTGCCTTCAGATCTGTTGTAAAGTGTCTGTAGGTATAAGCACAGAAATATGGCAGATGTTGCTATGAAAACTGGAGTGGAACTGTGACCCATGGGTATCGTTCTAAGCAATCCTAAAAGTAGAACTGTGGTTTATTCCCTTTTCATGCAATTCAGACCTAAAGCTCCCACTTTCTACCCTGCCACTGCATTTCTGACTTTACATTAGGTCCCTACGTTACAACATAGCACCTCCTAAGAGGTCTTGTTCAGAACACTTTTTCTAGAGCTGCGTAGAACTTTGCTGGAATCATTCTGGTCAAAACCCATGGCTGTTGCTGGGGACTCTCCCCACCCCCGACAGCATCTGACCTACATTTCCAGGTTCTTATCAGTTTGTGTCTGTAGAGAAAAGGGCACTTAGATAAGTGGAACAGCAGGCAGTGCTTTGTGGGTAATCAGCCAGAGCGACCTCTACCCTGACATAGGTAAACAGAATTGCTAAGGATCTTTTGATCCCAGGCTCACTTGTCAAGGCTGCATTTTAACCTGGAATGACCAGCAAGTCTCCTTCTGTTCTTCTGCACCTCCACCTACCACCGCCAGCAGCCTGCTGTCTCCCTGTTCGCCTGGCTGCCTTCTTCAGGAATGAATGCCTTGGCAGCCCTCTGTGTCTTCAGTTCTGTTTGGGGTGCTGCCATTCCTTACTCGCTATGAGAGGCAAGCATTCACCATTTATTTCAACCATTTTTCTTGTAAACTCTCTGTCTCTTACATCATTGGGCTAAACCTTCATCTCTCTGGGAGCCATGTGACCTTTAGAAACTCTTTATATTGTACGTATAGGATTGCCTCTAACTCAGCTTATTGAGTTAAATGCATTACTTTAACAAAGGACTAAACAGCACATAGACGTGAGCTCTGCCTTAAAATAACCTATATTCTAGTTGTTTATCCTATAAACTTAGCACTTTCAGACAAACAAATTCTTAAGCACTGTGTATGTACCATAGAAAGCTCATTTTAACCCTACTAATTAGACCAGTTGGGCAATATTAAGTAAGCACTAATTGTAGGACATAACGTAGAATTTATAGTCTGTGGGGAAAACAAAATCAAGGCATTTGCTTTCCCCAGTCCTTTTCACAATGACTTTCATCATTTTTGCTAATCCAATTTTCAAAATCTGTTACAAAGTCTCCCTTAAACCATTTCCAGAGACTGTCTGGTTTGCCGTTCTGGAAATGAAATTGCCTTTTAAAACTGAACAGATGGCTTCAATTTTTGGTGGAGTGGTATGAATGGAATGTCACATTCGAAACTGCAAGCAATTCAGCTGGAAGTTTTTGTCATTCATACATACATACAGTGTTTCAAAATACTATATTTTACATTTTCTCTCTTTTAAGTAAATTCCCATCTCCATGCCACAAGAGACTTCAGAAGTAAAATTTTTAAGTGAAAATCAATCCCAGCACTTCTAAAAGTGTGAAGTCCCGGCTTAACTGAAGTGCTCACTTACTGAAAAGCCAATAGACTAATTCCACTAAGTCCAAATTGTCTTCTAAAAGATCCCAAAGATAAGACTAAGTTCAACTTTGTTAAGCTGTTCAAACAGGACTGGCACGCCCTCCGTCCACCCACGAGGACCTTTTTATCCAGTTACATCAGGGTAACTTGAGCGGCTGCTGTGAAAGGAGAGCCTCTCTTGACCCTTCACCTACTTATTTCAGCTGTTGAAATAGGACTGAAATCTGTCAAGGATCCTGAAGGGAGGGGAAAGATTCATCCTGCTTAATGTAATTCAGCATTTATTGAGTGCCTGCTGTGTGCCAGACTCGAAGCTAGAAACTCAGAGGAATGTTAACATTATTAGTTCCTTGCCTTTTTTTGCATTTATAATCTATAATTGAGGGTGGGGCAATAAAAGAGGAAAGAGAAAAAGAAGTAAACACAAAGAGTATTATATTGTAAAAATGTATCAGAAAAGAGTTAAGTACAATGCAAAATTAAAGAAAACCAAGGGTTGTAAAAATTCCGTTTGCAATCCCATGCAAATCAATTCAGTGCTCCCCTTAATATGTGATCAGTCTGATGAGAAGTAATTAGAAATCAACAAGACTTTTAATGTATCTCTGAATTATACCTTTTATATGTTATTTTATCTTTTTCTGACTGATATTATTTTTAAGAAAAAATTCTGAAACCTGAGGAAATGAGCACAAGATAAATATATCAACAAAGAAAAAAAATGACACATAAAAATCAGCACTGCACAAATTTACTTAATTAATTAATACAAATTTACTTAATATCACTAAACTGTACACTTAAAAATGGTTAAGATGGTGAATTTTATGTGTATTTTACCACAATAAAAAAATTCTAAAAAAATCAGCATCAAAATCTTTTCTGGGAAAAAAAGGAGAAACAAAGAAAATGCTCCAGGGCAGAATATTACATTAAGCAAAACAAGCCTGTCGGAGAACAGCAAATATGACATGATCTCACTTGTATGTGGAATCTAATGAACAAAATAATCTGACAAACAAAATAGAAAAAATGGAACAGACTAACAACTGTCAGAAGTGGGTGAGGGCCTGGATGAAAAAGGTGAAAGGATTAACCAAAAAAAGGATATACATAACACTAAGACACAGACAACAGAGTGGGGTTGGGGGCACAGGGGGAAGGTGGGCAAAGATGGAGGGAAATGGGGACAGAAAGAGACTTTGCTTGCGGGGATGGGCACACAATGCAGTGTGCAGGAGATGTTTTGTTCAGTTGTACACTTGAAATCTATATGGCTTTGTGAACCAGTGTCACCCTAATAAATTCAATTTAAAAAAAAAAGAAAACGCTCGAGAGCAATGAGAATATTTGAAATAATAAAGTTGAAAACAAAGCCGTAACCTTGCCTTTGAACTTTCTTGTTGCAGATTCGTACATCAGTGACCACACTGTTATTTCCCAGAAGACCCTTCAGCTGGATAAGACATTTCCTGATTGCAGCCATACTTCTTGCACTTAATAATGTTTTGGTCATCCTTGTGCCAACTATAAAATACATTTTTGGATTCATAGGTAAGTTTCAGAAAGGCTTTGGTTTTCTATCTAATTTAAATTTTATTTATCAATTATAGTTACTTTCAATATTATTTTGTATTAGTTTCAGGTGCACAGCATAGGGGTTAGACAGCCGTATACTTTATAAAGTGCTCCCCCAGTATTTCCAGTACCCACCTGGCGCCACACACAGTTATTACAATATTACTGGCTATGTTCCCTAAGCTGTATTTTACATCCCCTTGACTTCTGTAACTACCAATTTGCACTTCTTAGTCCCTTCACCTTTTCATTTAGTTAAATGTCAGACAAGGAGACTCTTCTGGGACGTCAAGGATCCCCACTTGTCTCAGGCTCACAGTGGTCCTAGGAGTCCAGTGGGACTCCTGCTGTCACCTTCCCTCCCTCCCAGGTGACACTGGAAGTTACTCACAGGATCAGAAAATGTTAGTGCCACATGCTGCCTTATAGGTCCTCTAGTCCTTTTCTGACAGACGAGGAAACGGAGACTCTTAGAAGTCAAGTCATATACCTTGGAGTGGGCCCAGGATTTGCACTTAGGTCTAAACTCTGCATCAAAAAGTAAGGAAGATAGATTTCACCTATGGGATGCTCTCTCGGGTCTGTGAGTATTAGCTGAGCATTAAGAATATCTTTGAAGGAGGAGAAGATTGATTTTGTAAAGCATATTATTTCCCTTTACTGTGTGGCCTGTTAACATAGTTAATTTCTTTATTCTGCTGACTTGATGGAGTACTCCATTTTAAAATACAGTACCATATAAAACTTCTAAAAATTAAGCGTAAGCCACTTGAGAAGTTAGAAGCGTATAGGAAGGGTGTGGGATGAGTTCAGCCTCTTTAATAGGTGTTTATAGCATTACCAGTAATACTATAATATCCTGTAAATTTGTAACAGTCATTTTATTATTGATTATATGTTATGTACACTTAGTATGTAGCTGTGATGTTAGGTGCATTTTAATTTTCTTTATAAACCTATCTCCTTTGAATAAGCAACCAAGAGGATCTCAGGATGCTTCTCATGCTAAGATTGGGGTAGCTCTGGATGTGGTGTGTTTGCACTGCGTGCCCTCGGTCTCTGCCTCGCTGTCCCAGGCCTTCTGTGTGAGCCACTGACCCATCCTGTGTTCCTCTCGCAGGGGCTTCTTCGGCCACTATGCTGATTTTCATTCTCCCAGCAGCTTTTTATCTTAAACTTGTCAAGAAAGAACCTCTTCGGTCACCCCAAAAGATCGGGGTAAGTAAGGCTTGCAGTTTTCCCCATTGCAAGTCATTTTTTAACTACTTCGAATAAACCAGAAAATACACATGGTTCAAAAAATATGAATTGATGAACAAGAATGAAAAATTAAAGATGAGCTGGAGAGTAAGGGGGGTAGATTTCTGGCGCTCAGATGATTCCCGGATTGCTTCTGTTCAAATACCAAATATCTCGTATTGAGTTCTTCCTGCCTGTCAAAGGCTAATGGAGTTTTCCCACAGGCAACGTGTATACCAGGCGTCCACCACTCAGCTTTTGCTGTACTATCTGTGGGAAATTGTGCAGGAAGGAATGAGGCTCCCCAGTAGTGTTATGAAATAATGTAAACATTTGGGCCATATTCATTATGTTAGTAAGGCCAAAAGAAGAAATGATGCTTTTGTTTTCCCTTCCACAGTTACCTATCATCCTCTGTTGTGGACTGAGGTCCAGAATGGAAGCATTTGTTTTCTTACCTCTTTAGATATAAAATATAGTTTCATTAAACTAGAGAATATGTATTTCTTTTCCATAATAAAACTAACGAAAAATATGTTAGAAATAATTATTTTTCCAATAATTGAATATTACCAATGACTGCTTAATAAAGTCTTATATTAAGGCTTGAAAAGAATGCCTCTTACTGGATGAACTACCCTGAATTTTGCCTGGGAATCATTCACCTCCTCAGTTGTTCAGCACTTCAGGGCAGTTTGGCATCAATAGCTCTTCCCTTCATCTCACGCCTAAATTTCCACTCTAAGTAGTCCATCCTTCTTGGACTTTTATAACAGTGTGACCTTGGCTAGTTACTTATCCTGTTTGAGATACCCATTTTCAGTTTTATCAGATGTAAAAATGAGTAAAATTGTATCCTCGATTCTTTCTAGTGAAAAGAAACATCAGCCGCTTCCTTCGTGTATAGAATTAGGAAACTGACCTGTGCAGTACTGTATAAGGCTGTTTGTACTGCTAAAATTCTAAAACATTCTATTATGCATACACATGCACACTTTGTTTTATTTCCCCAAGGAATATGCAACATATATTAGGATTTTATTTTTATTGGTTTGCTTTATAAATTTTGATTATATCATACATGCTACTCAATCATGACCTACACTTTTTCACCTAAAACATTGTGTGCCTTCCCTAGATCATTAAATTATTTTCTGTTACTTGATTTTTATTGATCACAGGGTATTCCATCCTTTTCATGTACCTCATCAATGAACCATTACTGTATTTTGAACATTTGAGTTAAATCTCTCCAATGTTCTCACCCTCTTTCCCCTACTATGGTTTGAAATTGACTGAAATGTTAGGCATGGATATCTGAGCTATAAGAATAATATGATTCAATATTCAAATCAGATTGCTGGCTTAGGTAAACAATTTACTGTTTCTGTGTTCCCTAACAAGTTCTCTTTGACTTGCAGGCTTTGATTTTCCTTGTGGTTGGCATCATCTTCATGAGTGGAAGCATGGCACTCATTATAATTGACTGGATTTACAATCCCCCAAATTCCAAGCATCACTAACCCCCCCAAAAATACTTTCTTTTTCTACTGGACGTGGTTGCAAATTATGCTCCAAAGGACATGTGAGTTATTTTGCCCCAGTGATTGGAATGTTATTCATAAGAAATAACAAGAAGATTCGAAAGACGTTTACTAGCAACATCACCAAGCACCTTCAGAAGAAGAAATCATCATTTTTGTCAAGAATGGCTGTTTATGTGTTTAAAATCTGTGGTGCACATTTCTTCTACCCAGGTTTTGCAAGAGGAGAATAAGATGATGTATTTTTGCTGCTGTACAAGCAGAACGGGTAGCTGAGTATCATTGTCATTGGATAATTCCCTCCCCCACCCCCTCCTTCTTCCCAAAGTACCAAATACTTGTATTCTCAGAACATCAAACAAAATGCCCTGGTGGCAAAAACCAACTAATGCCTTTCCCTAATCTTGCACCAAATATTCTGGGTCTATTTAATAAAAAAGGCAAAAGGCATGTCTTATGAACTGTCCCAGTAAGGCACATGAATGATCAGACACCGGGCTAGAATATCTTCTCGTCAACAGTAAAAGAATATTTTGCCCATTCTGTTTGTGACATTGAATTAGTGACTTCTTCATTTAGATATTCTGGTAAATGTTAAGAGAGGGGTTTTATTTAAATTATAGAGCAACGACAAAAATAATTCTTATAACTAAACCGCCTGTTCTGGAGGCATTTGCTTTTTAATGTTATTCCCAGTCCTCTTGTCATACTTTTATCATTGAACAATGCTCTCCCTCTCGTCTTCCATTCTCATTCAGAATTTTTAGAAGACCACAGTTCACGTGGTGGTACACTACCCAGTATTGATACATTTTTATTTGATAAACATTCAGTGCAGGAAACTGTGATTGCTATGTGTTTATGTATATAGTCTTATTCTGTCGTCATCAGAATTTTAGTGTATGGTACATTTGATTTTTATTTTTTACATGTGTAGTTGTTCTCTCATTACAGTCAAAACATTTCTATTACTTGGGGTGGGGGCAGGGAGTTAAGTTGATGGACTCAAAAAATCCATTTGTATGTATCTGTCTATTGAGGATATTTTAAATTTGAAACCCAAGTTATATATAGTTCAGTAATGCTCTTCAATGTTTACAATAGCATCATAATCATCTGCAGGAAAATAAGTTCTTATTTGAAAGTAATTGTTAATACTAATGTTCATTTAATTTAGCATATCTAAAATAGCATTTAGTTCATTTCACCTTCTACAGGTGTTTGTTGACATTCATTTGCCATTTAATATAATGTCGAGTGGTTCTCCATCAAAATAAAAGTGCTAACACTACAAAGAGAAGCAAACTATTGCTCACTTCTACAACATAAATGAAATGGAGTTTGCTACTTTTTATTTTCAAATTAGTAGCAAGAACATTTGTTATGTATTTTATATTTTAGTAAAGTCAAGTATGAAATATAAGTGTCATATAAGTATGATAATATTAAATCATATTTCAATTGTTTTTCTGCAATGTGTTTAAGAAAGTATGTATTTGTTTTATATATTATTTTCTAGGGGCGCAATATATAAAATGGTGCACTTTGTTATGGAAATTGAGCATTACTAGAAACTATCATAACTTTTAAGTTACTATTATTGGAAAAAATTTGCCAAATAGCATTTGAAGATATATTTTCCTTCATCTAAAGAGATAGCAAGTGGAAAAGCTACTTTCTGAGTGTTAAAAATGTTTAATCTGAATGTATTTAAATGTAAATATCAAAGATTAATCCAAAAAATGGAAAACTGTAAAATCTGTATATATTTTGAATACTTCATGTTTGAAATGACTAACTTGAAAATATCAACATGTGTAATTATATAAACATTCAAGAGAAGTACAACAGTGCCGGGTAATAAAGCACTATTTCTCGTGGCCATTTTCAGAGGAGTCCACATAGACTGCAGGGCAGATATATGTATGTGCTTGTACTAGTTAATTTAACCCCATTTATAAACAGATGAAAATTTTATTTTCTTATTTCATTTGTAAGATGGTTCAATGCATTGGGAGGCTTTTTTATTACAGAAAGTGTATATTAGTATATAATAAATGAACTTTTCAAATGCCTATGATGTGATTTTCTTTCTAATGTTGAAGGCTATGAATTATTTGGACAAGAAAACATTTTAAGTCTAAATATTTTCTTCTTAAATTGGTGTATGTTCTATTTTCATTGTCACTCTTGACATATAACTAACATCTATAGTTGTCAAAACTAGTTACCATCTTATTTAGGCAAAATACACAGCTAATTGTAAGTCACCTTTATGCCATCATATATGTATCTCCTAGGATAAATGTGGAAGAAATGAGTCTCTTTATAGTTAATTAGAGAGAATTTATTTGAGATGGAAAAAGAGGGACTAAAAGAAGCATGAGAATAGTAAAGTTAAAATGTGGAAGATTTGGGAGAAAGGAAAGCAACATGTGAGTGCTGAGGATTGGAGAGAAATGGACTGTTAGTGGGAATGATGGGTAACATGGTAACTGCATGCTTAACCTTCTAAGATACTTCCGCATACTTCTCCAAAGTGATTCTACCATTTTAATTGTCCCCAGTAATACATACAAGTTCCAGTTGCTACATGCTTGGCATTGTGTTTTGTACTTTATAGGCTTTCAAGTGAGTGTGAACTGGTATCTCATTGTGATTTTCATTTTCATTTCCCTGGTGACGAGTGTAGGAAACATCCATGTGTTCCATGCCCACTCATGTCTCTTTTTTATAAAGTGTATGTTTGAATATTTTTTTTATTTTAAAATTAGGTTGTCTTTTTATTGTCGATATGTCAGCGTTCTCTACATATTCTGGATCTATGTCCTTTGTCAGACTGCAAGTATATTTCCTCAGTACCTGGCACACCTATCCATTTTCCTAAAGGTGTCTTAATTACATCCTTCTGGAGCCAGGTCTTCCTGGCTTGAAGCTCTGCCATTCCTGTCTTACTGGGATAAGAATAATTGGAATGGTATTGTCATAACTAATGTTTAGATTTTCAAGTTTGGAGGGTAAGAGTCTATTTTTTTGGTTAGTTGGGGTTTTTTTGTAGTTAGCTTATTAATGTAGGCTAGTACAGCTCTTTTTTATACCGATATTTAATTAAAAATAACTTTTTCTAAATTGCTTTGAGTCTTGGTTGAGACCCAGTACTACACAGACAAGCCCGGGATATCAAAAACCCATATTGGCTACTTGTCATCCACTTGATAAGTTTTCTCAGCACTAGTTACAAACACATGTAAATGAAATAGGAGAAATTACTTCATTTGGTTCTTATTTACCAGACTGGAAGTTCTGCCGTGTTCTCCTGACTCTGCCTTTTGCTTTGTGTGCAGAAGCAGGATGCATAGCCTCTGCAGCATGCACCCTCATGACTGCCTTTTCCCAATAAAAGTTTTGCATTAATTATTTAATGGACAGTATTTAAGAAACTGACTGAAAAAAGAAGTAAGTTGAGAGACTTTCTTCACGTCACACATCAAAATGAAAAACTTAAATATGAAAGTCAAAACACTCCCTGTGGACACTTTAGGAAGAACTACTTGATAGCTGCCTTGGAAAGCAGATACAGTGGAAGAAATCACAAAAGCAGTGATGAATGCACACAACTGCACAACAGTAACAAATAATCTTGTACCTTAGAGAACAAGTAATTTTTAAAAACTAGCTGCTACAAAAGAAGACCAATATATCTTTGATGGATGAAGAGATAATAAAAATCACTAAGGGAAATGCTAAGAAGCTAATAGCAGAATGGGTAATGGACATGAAATCACAGAAGAAGAATGGTTGGTTAATGACTATTTTCAAAGTTTGACCTCACTGTGAGGCAAAGACAGGCAAGTGAGGGTGGGGATGGATGGCACACTCTCATTCCATGCCGGTGGCAGAGATCTTGGCTCCGTTTATCTGGACAGTATTCCTGCAATGCTTATAAAGATTCCTAAAAACATTTGTAGCAGGCAGAATGCCCCCACCTCACAAAGATGGTCACACCAGAATCCCTAGAACCTGAGAACATGTTACCTTACGTAGGAAATTGGACTTCACAAATGTGTGAGGTACACATCGTAAAATAGGGGGATTATCCTGAATAATCCAATCTGAGAACTTCAGCTGAATTTAGAAAGACTCCAAGAGTCTTTCTCATGAGAGGGACCCCACCTGTCATTCCTGCCATGAGGATGGAGGAGATTACATGGAAACTGAGAAGGAAATGGATTCTGCCAGAAACTTTCACGAGCCATGATGATTCTCCTCCTGAGCCTCCAAAGAGGAGCCCAGGACACCAACACCCTGATTTATGGTTTGAGAAGCCTAAACAGATTAGTAGTGGGGTACAGCCAGTACCCTAAGCAGAGCATCAGCTTCTGAGCCAGCTGGACTTCCAACATACTAATCTGTGAGATAGTGAATAAGAGCTGTTTTAAGCTGCTAGCATTAGGAAACAAATATAACGTTTATGTTCTTTGATCCACTAACTTCTTTTCTGAGACTCTAGTCTTAGGAAATAATCAGAAAAGTGATTTGACTTTTATGTACTAATGTATTCTTTCAACATATAAGAGGTTGCAACTTGGAAATACTGCAAATGTCCAAAATTGTGGAATGATTAAATAAATTCTAGTGTCTTCATAGGCTGGAATAAAATATTTTTGAATAATCACCAATGAAATAAAAAACTGTGATATAATATTAGGTGAAAAAAATGCTTTCTTATCTCATTTCACATGTTTAAAATGCATGGAATAAAAAAATCAGGAGCAGGAAAAAAGGAAATAGACCTAAAATGTTAAAAGTAGATGTCAGTCTTTTCTTTTTATTGTATCTATATGAGGGGATGGCTGTTAGTTGAGCCTATTGTGGTAATCATTGCACAATCATATCATTATGCCATGTACCTTAAATGTATATAGTGATGTATGTCGATTATTTCCCAATAAAACTGAATAGAGAAATAGATACTTACAGATAGCAAAACAGTGAGTGATATTAGTTTTCATTTTTATACGTTTCTGTTATTTTCTAAGTTTTCTACAAGGACTATATATTCCTTTTATAGTTAGAAAAAACTTTTAAGAAAGAGAAAAATTCTTTCTGCCGATTTATATTTTCTGGAATAAGATATAAAGCATGTTGCCAATTTCTATATATTTTTATATTTTCAGCTGAATCCAAGGGCAGAATCGGATGCAAGTGCAATTCACAATTGGGCAACCGTCACCAATGATGGAAGCAGAGGACAAAAGGCTAGTGCAGATGCTAGACAGGGGTGGGGCTGGAAAGAGAAAGGAATGACTTGTTGAAAAAATCAGTGCAGCACAGCCAGTAGACAAGGATTTGAGTCTCAGATCCACTATATGAGCAAGTCATTTAATTTTATTGAGCTTTAGTTTCTTCATTTTTGTTGGAATAATTTTTGTGTAATTCAATTACTAAGATCATTTAGCTTGAGGTCATTGGAAATATCAGAAAGTCCTTATAGCAGTCATATGTCTAGTACAAAGGCTTAGCAATAGTCATAAATAAGGGATCATCAGAAAGCTATAAGGAATGCTTTGCAGTAATGATTTTTGTAACTTGGTCCTAAAAGTGAGTAGATAAGTCAAATTCTTCTGAGGAATACTCTGCCTTGCCACTCAGACTGAGTAATTTAATAGATAAACATTTATTCAGTGAAGTCTGGCTGCCAGATACTGTCCTAGACACAAGAACAGAGTAGTCCTCTCACAGTCTAGAGGGTGGGGCACATATATACAGTTACAACATAAAATGGAAAATGCGGTAATATATACCCAGAATTCAATAGAGCATCTACGGGGAGTGCCCAAGTCAGCCTTGGGGAGAGATGAGTAGTCAGAGGTTTCTGGCAGCAGATGCCCCCGATGCTGAATCCTCAAGGATGCATTAGAGTTAATCAGGCAGAGAGGGAGAAGCAGAGTGAGCAGTATGCATGGAAGCATGACTATTCTTATTGACCTCCTACCCCACACACTCTCTCAAACACATACATGCATATAACTTCCACAAACTCTATATTAGATTTCTTTCTCTGTTACAACAAATTACCACACACTTGGTGGCTTAAAAGAACACATTTTATTATCCTACAATTAGCACCAGCAAGGATCAGTAGAAGTCCCAGCAGAACTATATAAACTAAACAGACCAAGTAAAACGACAGAGGTTCTTAAAATTAAACTGTGATTTAATTCTACAGCCACAAAGTAGACCAGGACCTGTGTGCCAAGCCTAGACAGAGTGACTGCTTACTACAATAAAAGATTTAAATAGGTCTGGCACACAATTGAAAATTACCCATTATACCAAGAACCAAGAAAATTACAGCTGGCATGAGAAAAGATAATCGACTGATGTTAACACTGAGACAAATCAGATATTTGAATTATCTGTTAAGGATTTTAAAGCAGCCATTATAATAATGCTTCAATGATCAATTACAAATGCAAATGAAAAATAGACAGTGTCAACAAAAAACCTAAAGCTTTAGAAAAGAATGAACTGAAAATTTAAAGAAAACTTCATTGGATGCCTCAGTAGTAATATGGAGATGACAGAGGATAGACTCAGTGAACTTGAGTAAATATCAATAGAATTCACTTAATCTGAACAACAGAGAAGAGAGATGTTGGGAGAAAAGAGACAGTGAGGGGAAGTAGAAGGGGAGAAAATGGGCTGTGGGCCTGTGGGACAAAAAGTAAAAAAGCAGAGTCTCAGGAAGAAAAGAAGAAGAGATTAGAACTAAAAGACAATTTGAAGAAATAATGGCTGAAAACTCAAAATGTTGTGAAAGTCACCAAGCTACATGTTTAAAGAACTTAGTGAATCTTATCTAAAAGAATTCAAAGAAATCCACGTCAAGTAATAATCAAACTTCTGAAAACTCTTGAAAGCATCCTAGGAGAAACATCACATTGCCGTTAGGGGAACACTAATTCAAATGTCAGGATTTCTTAACAAAATGTGAGGATGAGAAACAAGTGGCACATTTTTCAAGTGATGAGAGAAAAGAAATGTCAACTAAA